CTTAAGTCTTAAATATAAATAGACCTTTACTGTGTGGAACTATACAAGAAGAGCCCAACTTATCAAACCAAATAGCAGGGAGGCTATCAGAGACTACTAGGGTCGTGTCCAAAGAATCCAGTAGCCAATTTGAAGATGCCACCACAGGCCAATTGGGATAATGTCAATATTAATAAGAATAATGAACAAGATGTATTAAATTACAATGTGTCAATGAATGAGTGCAAAGGATAATTTAAAAACAAAAATGAGCCCTGGCCAGTTTGGCTTAGCGGTTAGAGCGTCGGCCTGCGGTCCGGAGAGACCCGGGTTCGGTTCCCGCTAAGGGCACGTACTTCGGTTGCAGTTTGTCCCCGGCCCTGGTTGGTCGTGCGGGTGGCAGCCACTCGATGTGTCCCTTCACGTCGATGTTTCTCTCTCTCTCTCCCTTCCTCTCTCTCCCTCCCACTCTATCTGTACAAAAAAAGGAAAAATATCCTCGGGGGAGGATAAAAAAAATAAAATAAATAAAAATAAAAATAAATAAAAACAAAAATGAAAGCAAAATAACAAAATACCTATTTGGCCACCCTTGGCACACGCCAGAAAATCAATTCAAGGAACAACAGGATTGACATGTCACTGTTTTGCATTCCTTAATAGACTAATAAATCTAGGCAACACCATAAAAGAAGAGATTATTATACATTACGTACCACCCAATGACAAAACTCACCACTACCTGTGAAGCAGTCTTGCAAAAAGAAATAAATCAGAATATGATAAAGCCAACAGATGGTTTTAAGAAACACAGAAGACAGAAGAACATGTTAAACTATACCCTGGGAATACAGTGAGAAAAATCCAGGTGGTGGAAAGTTCTACTGGACAAACAACTTGGTTTTTTTCCAACAAATATAAATATATAAATATATATATAAATTTATGTATATTATCTATCTATCTATATTACAGTGAAAACCCATATATATTTAAAAAGATTTAACAGACATACCAACCAAACTCAGTACTGTATGTGAACCTTATTTGGATTCTGCTTCAAACTATAAATATAAATTATAGCATTTGTGAGATCATTGAAAATTTGAACATAGACTATTTCATATTATTAAGTATTACTATTAATTAGTTTAGCTATGATAATAATAATGGTTATGTTTTTAAAAGTCCTTATCTTTTAGAGATCCACACTGAAATATTTATGGATGAGATGATACGATTTCTGGAATTTAAGATAAAATGAGTGGGGAAGAGGAAAATGGTATTGATGGGTTGGCCATCATGGGTTGATGGGTACATGGGTTCATCATGCTCCCTGTCTACTTTTATCTAGGGTTTATATTTTCTGTAATAAAATATTAATATGTATTTTATACATAATGAGTATGTGTGTGTGTAAACACTATAAGGAAATACAACAAAATGTTAATGGTGATTATCTCTGGGTGATAGAATTATGGGTGATTGTGTGATTTTTATTTTCTTGTTCTTATTCTATTATATATTTTTTATACTGCATATATATTCCTTTTTTTTTTTTTTGGAAGGACCTATTTTGAACTAAGGAGTCCTCAAAACATTCCAGGGTCGCCTGAGAGTCCACTTTTTTTTTTTTTTAAGTTTAAAAACATTTTTTTTTCCCATCCCCTCACCCCGTCCCACTTGGTAATCATTTGCTTGTTCTCTATATCTATGAGTCTGTTTCTGTTTTATTTTGTTTATTCATGTATTTGGTGTTTTATGTTTTTTTTCTAGATCCCACATATGAGTGAAATCATATTCTTTATAATCAAGAAAAAGTTATCTAAAAAATATTTTAGCTTTTAATACCATTTTCACAATTCAACTAGAATTCACTTCTGACACAGTGAATAAAATTAATTTGTATGCTTTAAATATAATTGGGCAAGGCAAGTTATTTAATATTTAATTATATTTAGTTTTGAGTAGGTATAGATACCAGTTCATGAAACTGTAACTCTAAAGCAAAGTTTGAGGTTTGGAAATTCTGTCATTTAGTGTAATAGAATAATCTTAAAATTATAGCTCAGGAGTAAACAGTTAATTTTTTCCTCCTCCTTACATAACACAAAAACAACCGATCCAGTTTGGCATAAACTTTCTCCTCCAAAGTCACCTTTGTGCTGAAATTCAGCACCTCAGGTTTCAGTCAAATAACTTGTAGTTGAGACAAGGTTTCTTCATACAATTTTCTTGTAATTTTACTACAATGTTAGTTCCTGGCAAGTTGAGAGAGTCCTTTTTTCATAGTCAAGTGAGTCTGGTGAGTGTTTCTGTCTCTTACTTTCTAATATGCGGAGAGAACAAGGGGTTGAAAGCATTTCTTTCTTATCGCTGGAATAAACAAAAGGCCATGACAGTAGGTGCAACTACGGAAAAAGGTAGTTAATGGGTATTTTTAGCATATTAATAGTTAATTATTGCAGGGTTTATCATCCATTTATGAGAAAATTAATCCTTTAAGGTCAGTAAACATTTTAAACCAAGTTACAAAAACAAGTATGTTTTATACTTACATATAGACATGAAATATATCATCATCTGAATCTTATTTAATTAGACAACAGTCCCTTCATTTATTTTGAAATAAAGACATTTCATTTATCCAATTTTCCTTCTTTGTTCACATGTAATTTTTTCCTAAAGAAATCATAGCCAGCTCGTGTTATGAAATATATTAACAGATTATCATGGGATTGAGCAAAAAAGAAAAGAAAAAGAGAAAGAACTCATGGACACGGACAACAGTGTGGTGATTGTGGGAGTGAGGGTGGGGGAGGTTGGAGCTGGAAGAGGGTACAGGGGAGATAAATGGTGATGGAAAAAGAAAATAAAATAAGATAAACATTTTGTTCTGAATGTAGACTTTAAAAGAAAGTCATTGGTAAATGTAGTTATTCATTTGGAAGTGAAATTTTCTGATTTAAAAAATGGTTAAAGGCAGATAATGTCTATTTGGGCCCATTTGTGCATTTGAGGTTCCACGGATTGTTATATGCTTCATATAAATTCAATCTGCATTTGCAACTATATGCCAAGCTTTGTGCTAAGTATTTTTATATACAATCTCAGTTATTTATTATAAACAATAACCCTGTGAAAATTATTTTGGAGAGAGGTTAAGTTGCTTATTCAAGGTCACACAATAATCCAGTTGATTGCAAATACTGTCGCAAATACTTTTTAAAAATATGTTTTTATTGATTTTTAGAGAGGAAGGGAGAGAGAGAGAGAGAGAGAAATATCAATTGGCTGCCTCCTGCATGCCCCACACTGGGGACTGGGCCCACAACCCGGGCATATGCCATGACCAGGAATCGAACCAGTGACCTCTTGGTGCATGGGACCACACTCAATCCACTGAGCCACACTAGCCAAGCTGTGTCACCGCTTTTAAGTTTATGAACACTAGTGATGGACAGCGTTTGTAGCAGTCCTTGGTGCCTAACAAATGGCACTAGAAAGTACATGCAGTCAGTTCAAAGACTGGTAGTCATCTGTCTTGTTGCAAAATTAGGGTTCCCTGCCTCCCTGGAACACGGGGAGAGGTACAGGAAGTGCAGAGTGCTTCGTATCACAGCAAGCACGGTACCAGCTGAGACAGAGCCTGGCACATGTAGAAACCGACCAAGAGGCATCCAGGAGAAGGGACAGGGCAATCTGTTCTTCACTGCAGCGAAGCAGAGCTAGCTTTCTGCCTCGATCTTTTAACAAAGTTAACAAGTCCAGACATCTTTAAGCCTTGGAATAAACAGTATTTCGATTTGGTGACCAGCAAACTAAAAGTCAACCTGAGAAAGTTGATTCTTGACATATTTCCACCAAGGGTCACTTGTTTCATCCCAAAGGACTCAAAGCTAAGAATTAAAAACCCCAACTTCAGTAAATTATATGTTTGAAATACTGAGAGTTCTAATTAGACGTACATCCCAAATGCCAGTAGAACCCACTCTATCCATTTACTCATAACTTCATGAAAAGCTGTTTGTTTGGGATGTGGTTTTTAAAAACCAATTTACCTTCAGGCTGAGTTAAAGAATGGAACATGTGAGAAAAGAATTTTCCAGCTTTTGTTGACTCAGTGATGAAAAGGAAAAATATGTTTATAAGAATTTGGCTGCTTGGTAACTCAAAAATAATTGATCTAAAAACTTGAAATTTCACATGTGAAATGCTAAGTGCAACTATAAATTTCAAATGTAATTTTCCAATGCATACCCTTGTTCTAGCTTCTAATATTATAGCTGGGCATCAACTAGGCATCAAATTAACTATTCCTATAACACTATGCTAGAAGCTAACTACTGGAATATTTTATTTGTGGAGACCTAAATAACAGTTACACAATACATTGGAAGTAGACTTTAACTAAAGGATCTTAAAAATAAATAGGACAACAAAAATAAAACATGAGTAACTCTCCTGTCACCATCAAAACAAATGTTTCCAAGGACCTGACGCCAAGAAAACAGAAATCCATAAACACAAAGGCCAAGATAATCAGTGGACTCTACCAAGTCTCTATACGTGACAAAACAAAACTCTAAAAACCAAACCAAACAAAAAACCTGCTTTGAAGGAAAGAAAGCAGAAGAACGTTGACCTTTTTTGCCTCTCCACCTACGACGGAAATCCCAGCTTGCAGCTGATTTTAAAATTACCTTGTTTCCAAAATGTATGGGAGATGGATGTCTTTAAAAAAAAAGAAAAAACAGTAGGTGTGATTGCATCGATCATGTCCATATTAGCTTAAGTCAGTAATTACTGAGGGAAGAGTAATCTAGTTCACTCATTTTAATAACCAATTCCTTCTCAGATTTACCACAGAGCTAACTCAACTTAATTATTAAGGCACAATAACACTAGATTGAACAATTTTTCAATCCCAGAATGTTTATTATGGAGAGAAAGCTGGGACAATTATGTTCTTCATTTCTCCTTTTCTGTCCTCTGTTCTTGTTTATATATAAGGTATTGAATTTAACTTGTTTTCTTCTCGATGGTTTACATCTTGTCTTCTTTTAGAAAAATGTAAACTAGGTTTTACACAGCTGCAGGGTAAGTATTGGTGGCTTGTTCCCATGAGTAACAAATCACAGTCCCCAGAGCCCAGACTGCTGATCTAGAGAAGAACTGGCCACGTCTGGCTGCCCCCACTAACCTGCATACACAACTACCCCATGATCTAGACTCCACCGTGCCCCCCCAAGCACTTCCGTGGGTGCCCAACCTACGCAACCTCTCCTAGAATCCACGCACACAGCATTGCTTTTCATTTGGATGCAATATTGCTAAAGAGCAAGGTCACTTGAAAGGAAGCTGAACTTGGAGTCAGAACCCAAGTGCGAGTTCCACCTCTTCAGGGCACAAGTTACAGGCAGTTTAGTGCCATGGGTAGGCGTGTGCCTGCTAAAGCCACTCTCGCTGTGTGACTCTGGGCAAGTTATTTAAATCTTGTGCCTCAGTTTTCTCATTTGAAAAAAGATGATGATATCAGTAACGACCTCATAAAATTGTTGTGAAGATTAAATGTCTTAATAAGACTTAGAGGAGAGCCTCAGGTATCCGAAGCACTCAATAAATGATAGCAATTATTATTACTAGCTGCATGACCTTGGGGAACTCATCTAACCTCTAGGAGACCATTTCCTCTTCTGCACAAAAAAGGATCACAGCTTCACATGGTCTTTATGAAGACCGAATTAACTCATACAATGGAATGTGGCAGTCATTTTAAAAACATAATCAAGTATTAGACAACTCTTTCAACCAAGTAGAATTGGTTCCCTTCTGCTCTATGCTTCTATAATACTTAAAACATCCACATCCACACGTAATACACACACGTGCGTGCACACACACACACCCTGCTGTAGCACTGGTCACAGTGTAGCACGAGAATTTGCTTACCTGTCCATCTCCCCCACTAACGGCGCATCCTCTGATTCAACTCTGCGCCCTCAGCACGTTGGACATACCTGGTACAGGACAGGTACTCAATAAATATTTGTTTAAATAAATGTTATCCAAATGACTGAGCAGGAATTCTCAAGGCTTTTGCCAAGAATGATGGATGATCAGTTTCTGCCAAGTGTCCTCAGCAGACCACCCAAAATGTGCTTGTTTTTCCTCAGCCACAACCTATTGAGATTCTGTCATTTCTAATGCAGCTTGTGTGGTTGCATCCACTCATTACTTTTACTTAATAAATAATTATTGAGCACATAGTGTGTGCCAGGTCCTATGCAGGGCTCCACATAGTGTCCCACATGAGGCAAATGCTCAGCCTAGTTTAATTCCTGCATACTGTATTGGAAGGGCCTATTTACTATAGAATCATTTACAACTGGAGATAATAAACTTGTTGGTTTGAGGACTTCAAGCAGAATCTCAGAGTGGGAACAAAGTGGTGTTTTAGAAGTGGGAGCACAGAATAATCAAGGTCAGGGATCTGACTGCCTAAGTTCAAATTCTTGCTGTTTTTGACATAGTATAAGACCGTGGGCAAGTTACTTAACTTCTTTAAACCTCACTTTTCTCATCTGTAAGATGGAGCTAGTAGGATTGATGTATTAAAAAGAGCAACTCACAGCCCTGGCCGGTTTTCTCAGTGGTTAGAGTGTTGGCCTGCGGACCAGAGAATCCTGGGTTTGGTTCCTGCTAAGGGCACGTACTTTGGTTGCAGTTTGTCCCCAGTCCCGGTTGGGGTCGTGCGGGCGGCAACCACTCGATGTGTCTCTCTCACATGGATGTTTCTCTCTCTCTCTTCCTCCCTCTCTCCCTCCCGCTCTCTCTGAAGATAAATGCAAAAATGTCCTCAGGTGAGAATAAAAAAGAATAGCAACCCACATTAATTGCTTTTTATAGTACCTACCAACTAATAAGCACTCAAATGTGCTTGCTATTGTGATTAACAAAATCCAATACTCCAGTGTTTGAATTTCCATCACAAATATATTCAGTGAGTGGGGCATGAAAGCCCAGCTTCTGCTTGAATACCACCAGGGTCGGGGAACTTACTACCTATAGGAGTTGCCCACTTGATTGCTGGGAAAATCTAATTGTGGCGCATCCTAGTGGGTTGTAATATACATACTTACATCTTTCACTCATGGGTCCTTGATCTGTCATTTGGGATTACCCAGAGGAAATCGAATCTCTCCTCTGCAGGATAGCCCTAGCTATCATCCTCCTCCTCACACACCCACTCACAACCTTTAATCATTTCTGATAGGACCCCGATTACCAGAGCCCTTATTATCCTTTCTTGAAAAAATCTTTTGTTTGTCAATGCCTCTCGTAAAGGCTGAAGATCAGAATTCGTAAAGCGGAAGGAATGTGAGTTCTAAAGGACTAGTTTCCCACTTGAATGCTATCCTTCTATTAATAAAACAAGAGATTGATTATTTTGTAAGTTTCATCACGCTGTGTTGATTCATCATCTATTTAAAATGAGCAGAAGATAAACCTTCCCACGTGAGCAATTGTAGGCCATCTCATCGTCTACCTGTACCTGTATAATTGAATTTTGGGAACGTTGAGTACTTTACATTTGTCCCCATGGACTTTATATTGTGAAATGTGATTCATTATGACGTTTCCCCAGGATGTTCGGGAGAGAGGAGCCCTGGTTGCATCATCCAACTTGTTTGTTATTCTTTCTAGCTGTGTGTCACGTCTCGATCCGTTCAGCATCAATGCTATCTATCATCTTCGTCATCAGTAAAACAGTGAGAGCGACAGGGCTGCAAACTACAGTAGGACGGACCCCTAGAAATCGAGATGTGCACCAGCCTCTTAAAAATTTTAAAAAGGCCCTGGCCGGTTTGGCTCAGTGGTAAGAGCGTCAGCCTGAGGTCCAGAGTGACCCGGGTTCGGTTCCCGCTAAGGGCATGTACTTCGGTTGCAGTTTGTCCCCGGCCCTGGTTGGGCGTGCGGTTGGCGGCCACTCGATGTGTCCCTTTCACGTCGATGTTTCTCTCTCTCTCTTCCTCTCTGTCCCTCCCGCTCTATCTGAATAAAAAATGGAAAAATGTCCTCAGGTGAGGATAAAAAAAAAATTTTTTTTAAGGCATCATTTACTTAATCAATGAATGTTTATTGAGTGCCTACCATGTACCAAGTGCTAAGCATAGAGGGGTAAAAAAAAAAAAATCCCTGCCCTTATAAAGTTTACATACTAGCAGGGGAGATAAAGAATAAACAAATAAGAAGATAAATACATAATGCTCAGGTATTTTTAATGAAAAACGCCAGCAGGTGGGGGGTAGAGCAGGTTAACTGTGGGCGTGGAGCGAGGGGCTGCCCATAAACAGCACGGATAACACGGAGCTGTTTTGAAATCCGATTGCTCTGCTCATGACCTGCTCCAGCCCAACAGGTGTCCCAGCGTGGGCACCAAGTCTCTCTGATTCCTCAAACCCACTTTTCTCTATGTGTAGTCCTATTGGGGAAACAGCGAGAGAGTAATGGTGACGAATTTAAATAGTCATGGAATAAAAAAGAAAATTTGAAAGGACATAATTTCTTAAGAGGCTTCACAACATTTCTTTACACCCACAGGGTATTCAAACATTGTGAGACCAGCTAGGCTAGCAGGGAAGCCAGTCACCTCCTGATGAAGACTCGAGAGAGAGAGATTTAAAAGTATTGCTCCAGCCCTGGCTGGTTTGGCTGAGCAGTTAGAGCGTCAGCCTGCGGACCGGAGAGTCCTGGGTTCGGTTCCTGCTAATGGCACGTACCTCGGTTCGGTTCCTGCTAAGGGCACGTACCTCGGTTGCAGTTTGTCCCTGGCCCTCTTTGGGGTCGTGTGGGTGGCAACCAGTCGATGTGTCTCTTTCACGTCAATGTTTCTCTCTCTCTCTCTCTCTCTTCCCCTCTCTCTCCCTCCTGCTCTATCTGACAACCACATTTTCTTTATTCAATCATCTATTTGTTCAGCAAAAATGTTCTTAGGTGAGGATAAAAAAAAATGTATTGCTCTACAAATATAGTATATTGTTGAAGACTACATAATAGAGGGAAAAAAAGAGAAAAGCTAACTCTTACCTTGTTCCAATCCCCATGATCTCAAGTATGGAGTGGGTTATGAATCCAGTCGTTGGTGGAAAGTCAGGAGGATCGAGTGCTGGGGTGACCCCAAACACAGCTCAGAGAGTCTGGATGCTGAACTCTGGAAGAGAAGCCCATAAGGGACGGGCTTAAAATCGACTTCTATTAGCTACTCTCTGCTCATGATTCTTAAGGTAGTAAGTTCTTCTAAATAGTTTTAGATAACCTTCAAATCCTTTTCATGTCAGAGGGACTTAATAAATCTTTGTTTAATAAAATCCTAATTGCACCCTCTGACTAGGAATTTATTTTATGTTCTCACAATGAGACTTTTTTTCAATTACAGTTGACATTCAATATTATTTTATATTAGTTTCAGGAGTACATCATAGTGGTTAAACATTTATATAATTTACAAAGTGATCCCCCCAATACTTCTAGTACCCCCTGGGAATCATACATTGTTATTACAGTATTATAGAGTATATTCCCTATGCTGTACTTCACCTCCCCATGACTATTTTGTAATTGCCAATTTGTACTTCTTAGTTCCTCACCTTTTTCATCCAGCTCCCCCCAACATCCCTCCCTCTGGCAACCACCAGTCTGTTCTCTACATCTATGAGTCTGTTTCTGTTTTGTTTATTTTGGTTTTTAGATTCCACATATAACTGAAATCATATGGCATTTGTCTTTCTATGTCTGACTTATTTCACTTAGTATAACACTCCCTAGGTCCATCCATGTCATTGCAAATTGTAAGATTTCATTCTTTTTTTACAGCTCAGTAATATTCCTTTGTATATATGTACCACATCTTCTTTATTCAACCGTCTATTAATGGGCACTTAGGTTGCTTTCATATCTTGACAGTTTAACATTTATATTCACTCACCTTCATTGAGTATCTATTTTGTACCAAATACTTTGACGGTGCTTGGAATGCAAAGGTGAAGAGGAAAAATATGGTCCCTGCTTACAGGAACCTTATAGTAGCCAGAAAAAGCGGCTCTGAGAAAGCGGTGTGTTATGAAGAGGAATGTACCCAGAGCTCTAAGAGGGCCACCTAACCCAGACTTTGGGAGAATGGGAAGTTAGTGTCTTCCACACGAAGATTTACAAGGTGTGAAGGAGTCCATCCAATGATGAGGTGAGGCAGGTCTCTTTCAGTGGGTGCAAGTTTCGGAGGTGACAGAGATGCCTGTGCATCTGAGCCCTGCAAATCGTTCTGCACAGCTGACACAAAGCGGTCAGAAGTGAGCCCGGAAGGTGTGTGGGACCCAATTTTTCATAACCTTACCAGCCATGTCGCAGAGAAGGGAGAGTCTACTGGCATTTTTGATTGCTTGAATGTTTGAGTTTTAAAGTGAAGGAAGTCAAGACTGCAGCTCAGATTTTTGACTTGAACAACTAGGTGGACCATGCTATCCCTCACCAAGACAGTGAAAATACACATACAACATAGAGGAGATTTGAGGGAGAAGGGGATAAGTTCAGTCGTGGTCATGTTTGTTTAGTTCCTGGGAACATTCGCAGGGTAGCAGTAGGCAGTTTGATCTAGAATTCTGAGGATATAGGTTTAGGAATCACTAGTACATGACAGGCAACAACAGAACCCACAGGGACCAGAGAGACCCTGGGTGAACGTTGATAAAGAGACAGGGGACCAGGAGAGAACCCAGAGGGACACCACAGCTCAAAGATGGGCAGAGAAATGATCCCTGAAAACAAGAGTGAGAAGGCAGCCAGAGGGATAGGAAAGAAACAAGCCGCGTGAAGGACCACAGAGGACGAGCACGTGCCAAGTAGATGGTGGTCAACAAAGGCAGGTGCTGTGAGGAAGAACTCGGGTAAGAAAAAAACTGGGAAGTATCCATGGGGTGAGCATCAAGAAGATATTTGACCTGATGGGCAGAAGCAGGGTCAGTGGAGGCAGGAGCCAGGTCACAGTGAGTTGAACAAATGGAACCAATGAATGTAGACAACTGTTTTTAAAAGTTTGCCTTCAGCCCTGGCTAGTTTGGCTCAGCAGTTAGAGTGTCGGCCCGCGGACCAAAGAGTCACAAGTTCGATTCCGGTCAAAGGCATGTACCTTGGTTGTGGTTCGGTCCTCAGTCCTGGTTGGGGTCATGGGTGAGGCAGCCAATTGATGTGTCTCTCTCACATTGATGTTTCTCTCTCTCCCTCTCTTTCTCTCTCTCTCTCTCTCTCTCCCTCCCCCTCCCCCCTCCCTCTCCCTCCCTCTCTTTCTCACTGTCTCCCTGCCAACTCTGGAGATAAATGGAGGAATGTCCTCAGGTGAGGATTAAAAAAAAAGTTTGCCTTCAAAGTGGAAGATAGAGCCCTGGATTTTTTTCCCAAAATGGAAAATGGGACCACCATAAGGCTCCCTCACCATCTTTACATTAGCTTAATTGACTACATGGCAATGCTCTGGGTGGGCGTGGCCTGTCGGGCAGACAGGTGTCTACAACCAGTGTTGGATGTAGCTAAACCTGTAGAGTACACCAGGTCTGCCTTTCTTGCTCTCCTCCTGAGTCTTCTTCTGCACTCATCCCTTCACTAGATCTCCACGGTCCTGGGCTGGAGGCCCATGTGGGGCATGAATGTACTCCTGAGCAGCCCACCAAAGAAATGATCTTCACAGGTAAAATCTGGTCAGAAACAATTGTCACACTGACATTATCACTCACGTATTGCCATAGCTCATGCACTGGGACAGTCAGAGGGAGGGAGGAGGAGCTGGGTTCCTTGGAGTCTGGAACAGGCAGCTGGCGCCACAGCTGGTCAGGCACCTATCCAGTCAGGGATCCTATCTGAGAGCAAAATCCAGAAGACAAAATCAATGGGTCAGGGGTAAAACCGATGACCACGACTCCAAGCAATGCTGAAGGTCAGTCCTAAGGAGTGAAGGTGAGCCAAGACATAACGGACGGACACTGCAAGGGGTCTGGACCAGGGGCAGTCCAAGCACAGGGTCCAAGAACTAGAAATGGCTGAAGCTGTTACGTATACACAGAGGTCAGGTGCAATTATGCTGGACAGGTGTGCATACTCCCACCAGTTGTTACCCTGAATCCCTCCACTGTGCTGTTTTAGTTCTCATGCCTTCATGATACAAAGTAAAAATTCTAGCATTCACAACAATTCCCAAAACCTTATGTTCACCACCCCCCTCCTGCCATCATAACCCCGTGTTCCAAGGGGACAGCAAAGCTCTAGCCTGGGGAGCACTGATGGGGAGCAGAGAAGTACCGGGGGTACAGAATTTGCAAAGGTTGCAGTGATAGCCATCTCAAGCCTGAGAACCAGGAGTTGAAGTAAAAGGCCTGAGGTTTTCGGACACCCTAAATCAATAATAAAACTAGCTGCATGGCTTGGTTAGTTGAAACATTATTTCTAACTTGTAATCATTCCAGGATATTGATGTTCTCTAAAATGCACACTGTGACTGAACTGAAAGGCTTGACTGTCTTCAGTTTGTGATTAGAGCACAAAAAGAAGATAAAGAATAGGGGTAAACATCATAGATAAATACAGTATTTTTGCCTTGTGCATAGACTAGCTAGGCTGCACAGAGTTTACAACTGAAGATTTTTTCCCCCCATTTCACTCAAGTCAATAATCATTTACCCACTGGATAGTGCTTAAAGTGGAGTTTTCATCTAATTCTCATTTCACGAGACTGAAAAGAAAAAACTAAATAATAACACCTCGTTTGTGTATAGTGCTTGTCTTTCAAAGAAAACAGCATAACCCATTTAATACTATCTAATACAGTAACAGCACTTTTATAATGTAAATACTAGTAAGGGCTATTATCATTTTACAAATCATTCATGAAAGAAACTGAGGCATGTGGGAATAAAATAACAGGTTTAATGTAACTTTCTTTCAGAGGTGCAATAGCGATTTGTTTGTTTTTTTAATTCATCTTTATTGTTGAATGTATTACAGATGTTCCCCCTTTTTTCCCCATTGACCCCCTCCTCCCCAATTCCACCCCACTCCTGCCTTCCCCACACTATTGTTGGTGTCCATTGGCTATACATATATGCATAGAAGCTCTTTGGTTTATCTCATCCCGCCCTCCCTCCCTCCTTCCCTTTGAGGTTCATCAGTCTAACAACAAATTTGTACTTCTTAATTCCTTCATCTTTTTCACCCATCCCTCCAGCCCCCACCCATCTGGCAAGCAACAAAAAGTTCTCTGTATCTATGAGTCTGTTTCTGTTCTGCTTGCTAATTTTGTTTGTAGATTCTATTGTTGATAGATATGTATTTATTGCCATTTTATTGTTCATATTTTTGTTCTTCTCCTTCAAGAAGACCCTTCAACATTTCATATAATACTGGTTTAGTGGTGATGAACTCCTTTAGCTTTTTCTTGTCTGGGAAACTCTTGATATGTCCATCAATTCTAAATGATATCTTTGCAGAATAGAGTAATCTTGCCTGTAGGTCACTGTTTTTCATCACCTTGAATATCTATTTGCCACTCCTTTCTGGCCTGCAAAGTTTCTTTTGAGAAATCAGTTGACAGTCTTATGGGAGCTCCTTTGTAGGTAACGGACTGCTTTTCTCTTGCTGCTTTTAAGATTCTCTCTTTGTATTTAACCTTTGGCATTTTGATATGATGGATCTTGGTGTGGACCTCTTTGGGTTCATCTTGTTTGGGACTCTCTGTGCTTCCTGGACTTGTATGTCTGTTTCCTTCACCAACTTCGGGAAGTTTTCTGTCATTATTTTTTCAAATAGGTTTTCAATTTCTTGCTCTCTCTCTTCTCCTGGCACCCTCATGATGCAAATGTTGGTACACTTGAAGTTGTCCCAGAGGCTCCTTACACTGTCCTCATTTTTTTTTTTCTTTTTTCTGTTCTGATTGGGTATTTTTTGCTTCCTTATATTCCAAATCGATGGTTTGCTTCTTGGCTTTACCTACTCTACTATTGATTCCCTGTAAATTATTCTTTATTTCAGTTAGTGCATCTTTCATTTCTGACTTTTCTATGTTGTTGATGTTCTCACTAAGTTCCTTGCAGGTCTCAAGTTCCTTGAAGGTCTCACTAAGTTCCTTAAATGTCTCACCAAGTTCCTTGAGCAACCTTATAACCTGTGTTT